GGTTGGAACGCTGGACCATATATGTATATATATATATATATATGACTTTCTCAGACTTTCAAATCGGCCTGCACGTTGACCACTTCCGAGTTGATGTCTGTCAAGTGCTTGGTGTGGTTTTGAATGTCCCTGTCCTCAAGTGCAATTGCAAATACAAACAACCCATCTGAGATGCACGTCACGCAACTAAATTCTTCCCATCCAAGGGAAAATCTGTGAGCCCCAATCAACGGCCAATCAGAACATGTGCGCACTATCCCAATAATTTATTGGTAATCTAGAGTGATATAAAGTGGGTACATACACCTTATACCAAGGGCCGCTACAACAGCCCATGGATTCTCCTTCAGATTCCTTGAGTGCTTGGATGGGAAGCTCTTTGTAGCTGTCAGGTCTTGGGATGACAAAGAGTGCTTCGTGCAAGAAAGGTACCACGCTCTGCAATCGCAGCTCAAAACGAGCAAGCCCCGCATCATGTTCCTGGCCAAGCTGGGCAAAGAAAGTTGTGAAGGTCTGAAAAGCGAAATGTATCGAAATGTCGCAATGTGAAGCTCGTGGAGACTGACCAAAAAAAACTCTGGAGACTGTCATTCCCTCGTCTGTTTGCTGCCGGCCCGTCCTGCAGTTTTGGGATAGACTCCTTGCGGAAGTCAAAAAGACCATGGATCTCAGTTTCTGCCACCCTTGCCTGTTCCACAAGCCTGTCCTGCGAGTGGCAAAGCATCAGTAAAGCATCAGAAAAGAATGAGTATAGTTAGGAGATTAGTCCGGGAAAGATATATAAATTGTCAAGCGATTGAAAACGTGAGAACACCAAAGGCAATAAAATGTATGAGAAATGAAGCCATCTGCAGGCATCATAGACAAACACTACAGTCCAGGGATGTTCAAGGGCACAAAATGGCACAAATCTCACAAGATCTCACAAGCCATACCTGAACGATGTTTTGCTCGGAGACGCGTGCTGTGGTCCGGCGTAGCTCTGAGTTTGTGGAATTCAAACTTGCCTCGTCAAATTTGTCAGGTTTAAAGATGTGATCAGTTGTGATGCAGTAAACACATACTATTTCCATCGATTTACGACATGTGAGAGGATTCAAGAAGCATATGTGTTTCAAACGCATTGACTTGAACCCAATAGAATTCTAGAGTTAATTCCAGATTCCCGAGACTTCTTCCTTGTTCACTCCTTCTCTTGCCTAGTATTTGCTCATCCATTATCATTTGCAGTTTGCCAGCACACACTCCAAGACTCCAGCCTCCAATGATCTTATTGCACTCGAATTGGTCCGGATGTTAGCCGTCTTGGCATCTAGCAGCGTTGACAAGTCTGCCACGCGCCTGCGGTGATTAGAATTGGCAATGGCGAATGTCATTCAAACGACCCAATCGTCTTCCACAACTTTCTACAATTTCAAATGCTCAAAACTGAACGCAGGGAGAAGCACTGTACCTTTCAATCATGTGACATCTCTGGGATACTAAGTGTACTTCAAGGTTTTTCATACATTGTTACCGAGTGTCATCCTGCTACAACCAGTACAACATTTATGTATATGTATGTAATTACATGTCATTACATGTATTTACATGTATTCAATATGATGTAGGTGTGTAGGTATGTAGGTATGTAGGTATGTAGGTATGTATGTATCTATCTATGTATCTATCTGTCTATCTATCTATCTATCAATCTATGCATCTATGTATCTATGCATCTATGTACATGAATTTAAAATGATGTATGTCTGTCTGTCTGTCTGCCTGTCTGCCTGTCTGTATGCATGGATGTATGTGTATGTGTATGTATGTATGTATGTATGTATGTATGTATGTATGTATTTAAATGTATGTATGTATGTATGTATGTATTTAAATGTATGTATATGTATGTATGTGTATGTATATGTATGTATATGTATGTATGTGTATGTATATGTGTATGTCTGTGTATGTCTGTATATGTCTGTGTATGTCTGTATATGTATGTATGTGTATGTATGTATTTATGTATTTGTATATGTATATGTATATGTATATGTATGTATATATGTATATGTATATGTATATATGTATGTATATATATATGTATATATATGTATATATATGTATGTATATTTATATATGCATATATATATATGTATATATATATGTATATATATATATATGTATATATATATGTATATATATATGTATATATATATATGTGTATATGTATATATATAAATATATGTATATATATATGTATATATGTATATATATGTATTTATATGTACGTATATGTATGTGTATGTATGTGTGTATTTATGTATGTATGTACGTATGTATGTATGTATGTATGTATGTGTGTGTATGTATGTATGTATGTATGTATTTAAATGTATGTATATGTATGTATGTGTATGTATATGTATGTATATGTATGTATGTGCATGTATATGTGTATGTCTGTGTATGTCTGTATATGTCTGTGTATGTCTGTATATGTATGTATGTGTATGTATGTATATATGTATATGTATATGTATATGTATATGTATATGTACGTATATGTACGTATATGTATGTATACGTATGTTAATGTTTGTATATGTATGTAAATATATTTATTTGTACCTATATGTGGTTGTAAGTAATTATATGTAATTATTTGTAATTAGATGTTTATAATTATGTATCTATATGTCTAATGTTGAAATGGATTTATTTCTGTTGAAACGCATTTAGATGTGTTAATACGTATTTATGTGTATATGTATATACATATATATTGTTTCTCTGTAAATATATATATATAGTGTATCATCTATATATACATATATGTAATGAATGAATGAATGAATGAATGAATGAAAGAAAGAAAGAAAGAAAGAATGAATGAACGAACGAACGAATGAATGTATCTATGTATCTATGTATATGTGTGTATAAATGTATGTATGTAGGTAGGTAGGTGGGCGAGTAGGTAGGTATCTATGTATGTATGAATGTACGAACGTACGTGCGTGTGTAGGTAGGTGGGTATGCAGGTAGGTATGTAGGTATGTAGGTATGTAGGTATGTAGGTATGTCATGTGGGCACGTCTGTCTGTCTGCATGCATGCATGCATTTATGTTTGTTTATGCTTACGCCCCGAAAACCGTACGAGTAAAACGCACATTTTTGAATATCGCTATGTTGGGGTGGGGTGGGGTGGGGTGGGGGGTGGGGGATGTAACGTACCTTGTACTTCATACATGATCCATTGCTACGCTGCTGAGATCTCTGGGAACGTTTACTACGTTACATGTTGCTACGCTGCTGATGGGGTGGGGTGGGGGGGTGGGGGTGTTCACGTACCTTGTACTTCGTACATGATCCATTGCTACGCTGCTGAGATCTCTGGGATCGTTTACTACGTTACATGTTGCTACGATGCTGATGGGGTGGGGTGGGGGGGTGGGGATGTTCGTACTGCTGATGGGGTGGGGTGGGGGGTTGGGGGATGTTCACGTACCTTGTACTTCGTACATGATCCATTGCTACGCTGCTGAGATCTCTGGGATCGTTTACTACGTTACATGTTGCTACGCTGCTGATGGGGTGGGGTGGGGGGGTGGGGGATGTTCACGTACCTTGTACTTCGTACATGATCCATTGCTACGCTGCTGAGATCTCTGGGATCGTTTACTACGTTACATGTTGCTACGCTGCTGATGGGGTGGGGTGGGGGGGTGGGGGATGTTCACGTACCTTGTACTTCGTACATGATCCATTGCTACGCTGCTGAGATCTCTGGGATCGTTTACTACGTTACATGTTGCTACGCTGCTGATGGGTGCAAAGCATTCATTCCAAAACAGCTAGGAAGCCAATCAGAATTGATTGAGGTTTACTTGCGCGCGTTCCAATGGAGGTATATCAATCGCCTCACTCTAATTCGCACGAAGACAATCCACCAGCTCAACTTGCTTCGAAAGTGAAGAAGAAAACAAAGTGCGCAGTCTGTGTTCTGATAGGTGTCATTGGGAAAACAACATTTTCAAAAAAAACTTGTACGGCACCACAGCGAGAAGGAAAAAAAAAAGTAAAACCACTCTAAATGCGCACTGATTTCGACAATTGTTGGACAAAAATGATGATGAATATACCACGCAGGCCACGTTCTGTCTTTCCCATTTTGATGCGATGACACATGTTATGCGGGCAGAGCCTATTCCAAACGATGTTAAATTTCACATAATTCTCGGACAAAATTGGATGAAAACACAAGCGAAATATGTTTTTTGTTCAAAAACACCAGCCAAATTCCACATCATTTTGTGCATGCTACACAAAACTACTTCATTTTTCCCACACGAAATACAAACGAAATACACTTGAAGTGGACCTGATGATAATGAAATTGTGCAAAACGCACGTACGGAAAACGGCGCGACGGGTTGTTTATGTATACATAAAATATGAATATGGAATATATAAAATATATATTAATCATACGATTATACAATGGACTTTGCTCGTATTGATGTGTCTGTAAAATCAATTTCTCTCTCAAGGCTGTCTGCTTATGTCTGTTTGAGATGTGAAGTTGCTGCTTTGTTCCCAGGACATGGTCTGTGGGTTGAGTCTTGAATTGATGGACCTCGCCAGGTCGGCATGGAGGTTGTTGGTGAATTCTGTCAGCTCCTCCTGGGCGCCAAAGCACGACATGTGGACTTGGGTTTAGGTTCAAAGGCTCGAACATCAGGGTGTCGGATGTTGGGACTCAAGCCAGCAGCTGCCTGAAAAAGCCAAATTTGCGTGGCTTGTTCAAAGGACATGAATGATCGAAACTTCGAACCACTTCCCGTTTCCATGACTTTCCATCACTGTCCATCACTTCCCTTAGTGTGGTCTGGTCCTTAGTCTGGTTCAGCTTCTGATGGAGCTGCTCCATCTTGCTCTTTCGCTGGGAGGCTTCTTCATTTATGAAGCTAGCGTGGCTTGTGAGGGTGTCCTTGGCATGTTTCGGCAGGTTCTCAGAGAGTCGCCCATACACTTTGGACTGCTCACTCGCTGCGTGACTACGAGCTTGAGCATGACCGCGAAGTATGTCGCAAGTATATAAATCAATTGCAAAAGCGAAAAACTGTATTCTTCTTACCCCAAGTTTTGCTTGCCGTAGTCAGTACTCCGTAGTTTGAACTGGAATGCACTGAGGCGGAGTCAACTTTGGTCAGTTTGTCCTTCTCCTCAACAGTGGCAAGAATAATAAGAATATTATTTGAATATATTGGGGATAATTGGGGCAACCATTGTGCTCTTGATGGTTACCAGTACTGCCTGTGCCGGGCTTTAAAAGATCAAATTCGACATGACTCATGAAGTCATGAAAGGAATCTTGCCAGAGTTCCAACAAATCCCTCCCAGGGTCAAACTGCAGGCGTCAAACCAAGCTGTTGTGGTAGGCAGTTTCCCAACATGAACTTTTGACCTGAATCTCTTCGCCCTTTGTGAACTGCTTTCAGCACACTACACAAAATAAGGATTGTATAGGTTCTATATAGGTTTTATCGGATTCTACATCCAGTTGACACACAGTGCTGCGGTCCTGAAGTTGGATAGTCTCGTCCATGCTTGACAAGGCGTCTTTGATGCTTTCGATTTGCAACTTGGCCTCATGAATCGGCACAAAACTCGAAATACATTGCCTCTCTGAAGAAAACATGCATTGGATGAACAAATAATATCAAATAATTACATTGCAAAGCAAAGCACATCTTGAGAAAAAGTGCCTGGAATTTCTATTCAAACTTTCATATTTTTACTAGTCACTAGTCTTAGGAAACATTGAAACACTTCAGGCCTCGCCTCCAAGGAAGCAAAATGACAAGGTGACAAACTCAAGACCCTCGACACACCACACACCATGCGGCGCCTGCTGAAGGTCCTCCTCATCCATTGCCGCATCCTTGACGATTCGATGAATCCGTGTCTCTAAAGACTCAATTTTTGACGAGATTCGCGGCAAACCTCGGCAGAACATTGATATGTTCAAACCCCAAAAACGATCGATCTGTTTACCCTGCAATTCATTCTCCTGCAATAACCATGTGTGCACCCTTCACGGTCCAGAAAGGAAATACAACCATAGAAAAAAAATGACAGCTGTTACAATGACTAGCAGCACTCGTATGGATGGGAATCCTGCTGGCTATCACCTGAAATAATTGGAATGTTTGGAAACGCTGTTTTTCCGTTAGGGTGCAGGTTGTAAAAGTCCAAAAATGCTTGCAAACGCATGCCTGCCGCAGTGCATAAACATCTGAACGGCCCGGAAATCGGCCCAGCGTTTTCATCAATTTTCATGTTTACTGTGATGTTCGGCTTGGTGAAAACATTGGCATTTGCCACATGTTTATATCATGGTGATGTTCTTTGGCACCTCATTTTCATTGGGATTTATTAAAAATCCTTGTTTTACTGCAGTGGGAATTTAAAAATGCATGTTGAACACCCTCAAAAAAACGTTACGTTCTTGGGATGGTTTCGCGTTTCGCCACAGCGCCAGCGATTCTTTTCCATCACTTCAACTTGCGGACCGTCTTTGCAGTGATGTCACACACACCAGCATTTCGATGTATGTAGGGCCATTGCCAAGCCTTGACATATGTCATCATCATTGCACTTTGGCTAGACAGGCTACCTGGCAACATGTTTTTACATGAAGCATGCTTACCGAAGTACAACAGTAACATGAAGCGTGCTTACCGAAGTACAACAGAAGTGTACAACGTAATATGAGGCGTGCTTACCGAAGTACAACAGAATTGTACAACATAACATGAAGCGTGCTTCCCGAAGTACAACAGAAGTGTACAACGTAGCATGAAGTGTGTTCACCGAAGTGCAACAGAAGTAAACAACGTAACATGAAGCGTGCTTGCCGAAGTACAACAGAAGTGTACAACGTAGCATGAAGTGTGCTTGCCGAAGTACAACAGAAGTGTACAACGTACCATGAAGCGTGCTCACCAAAGTGCAACAGAAGTGTGAAACGTAGCATGAAATGCGTTTACGGAAGTACAACAGAAGTGTACAATAGTGTACAACGTAGCATGAAGTGTGTTTACCGAAGTACAACAGAAGTTTACAACGTAGCATGAAGTGTGTTCACCGAAGGGCAACAGAAGTATACAACGTAACATGAAGCGTGCTTACCGATGTACAACAGAAGTGTACAACGTAGCATGAAGATGCATGAAGTGCTGTGTTTACGGAAGTACAACAGAAGTGTACAAAGTAGCATGAAGTGTGTCCACCGAAGTACAACAGAAGTGTACAACGTAGCAGCAGCATGAAGCGTGCTTACCGAAGTACAACAGAAGTGTACAACGTAGCATGAAGGGTGTTTTCCGAAGAGATCGACCATAACGTAGAGACAGGACGTTATTACCACCCCCCCCACCCCACCCTCCTCAAAAAAATATCACAACGCAAAAAAAAACGCAAAAACGCTGGGCCGGTTTTCGGGCCGTAGGCATAAACATGTACACATATGTATATATTAATAGACATATGCATGCCTTATAAATGCATCTATCTATCGATCGGTCGAACACCCGACCCAGAGATCGATCTATCTACAGATACTCGTTGTTTTGCGCTCGCGCTGTCATGCTCTCCAATCCAACTCCACAACATGATGTCACTTCCACATATTTCCACATACCTACCTCAGAAAATGAGGGACGCCACAGGTCCTTCAGAATAAGATGTGGTTGCAACATCTACAGGCAACTGATTGACAGCTCCAACATTCATCATCCGAATAGTTTCCATGTCTGCCATACCCCAGAAGAGTACAAGCAACACTATGTTATGAAATGTTATGAACACGTTCAAGTAAACTACATGTATTGCTATACATCTAAGTACGTAGCAGCAATGAATATCTATATTATATCATATATATATATGATTATATATGATTATATAATATTATATATGATATTATATGTAGTGTATGTGTATTCTACATATCGTGTGGAGGCAAATGCATGTTTGTGTGGTCCAGCCGAAAGCATGTGAATCCTTGACCTGGTGTGAAAATGATGTGAAAATGAGAAAATATTGCAGCCGAGTGAAGCAGGCCTCCTGAGATCTCCTTGTTATATAAAGGTTCCAAATTGGGGGAAACTTCAACATTGTTCAACCAAGTAAAGCCAAGCAACAACTCTTCTTGATATCGTCCAGCTGGTTCGAAGCGGAATGCTGGAACTTTTTGAAAGCTTCATGCGTATCCTGGGCAATGCTTTGGACCCAACAGAAATAGAGACCCGAACAAAATGGCCACCGGCCAGTTCTTGTTACTCAGTCGTTCCGCTGCTCTGGTCATGCACCACATACGACAAAGCCGTTCTGAGACCCTCACATCTGCTACTCGTTTTGCTTGCTCCACTCGTCCGCAAATGCCAGCATAGCACTGGCTCAAAAAATCGTTGGACCTTGAAGAAAGCAGGAACTACGTGTTGAACAAGTTCTCTGAAAGTCTCCCTAGACCCAATCACTGTTGAAAAGCTTTTAAACACAGTCCTTGCAGAGTCACTAGCAACGGTCATTGCATGTAAGGTTTCTTTCGTTCTTAAATTGGCATCCCAAGGAGTGCCATGGAGCTCCCAGCGAAGCTAAATTTAAAAAACGAGCTGCTCACGGAGACCACTCAGTTCACCAACCTTTTCAGCGAGGTTGGAGGCCGTGCTCCTGCAGTTGAAAGTGGAACCACCCTGCGAAAGGTTTCGCACCTAGGAAAAAAATGGAAAAAAGGCAATCCTCAAGAGACACAGCTTCGATAGATTCCATGTCATTTTTGTCAGGGAATCTCGCATGGTTTGTTTAACTTGCCAACCCATATTCATACAGCCGCAGATCTACCTTCCAGGGCCATACATTCTTGACATACCACCATAGTAGAAAAGCCGGGGCAAACGTTAGAGCCCTGCTAAAATTGTATCCGCTTTTGCGGGGGGGCATCAAAAAAACAAAGCAAATCATGTTTCCGTCCGACCTAATTGCTGCACAAGCCCTTTGCAAAACGCGTTTTGTGAGTCAGCAACTGCGTCTGTGATCTCCATTCCTGGGTCTCAGTTAATCCAACATACTACTTGCCTTCAAAATCCGTATTGGTTCTACTTGCCCAGCAATAGCGTGCGAGATTTCTCCCGAAAATCAATGATCCAATCGTGCAAGTTTCTGAAAACAGGATTATCATCCGACCACAACTTAACTCCGCCCCACGCTTACCATGCAAGGACAAGTACCAGAATCCCTTCCACACAGGGCACACACGGTGCGAAGGTGCCAAGGCAATTGAACAACCCACTTGTCAAACGTTGTCAAACTGCTCACATCTGTTCACATCTGTTCACTGTCTCATTGTCAAACTGTTCACTAATTGTCTTAATTAATGTCCTAGCCCCCCAAGGTCCAACGACTCAACGAACCGACACCCATGCGCTCTGCCAAATCGCTCCTCGAAAAATCTACCAATTCTCGCAAGTCTGACTCCAGCTTTGAGTGGACCGTGTTGTAGGCCCTTGGTTGTCCCATTCTTGTCAAGAGATTTGCAAACGAAGAACGCAAGCCTCCAACTCTTTTACTTAAGATCAGCCTCAGAGTCTCAGACTTGATCGTTGCAGTCGTTACATTTTGAAAGTCTATTTTTGCTCAGTAGCTCGAGGTTGCTCTTCCCCACTTGCAGCTCCTCATAAACCTTCCAGGACGCAACAACACTAAGCAGCACCAGCCAACAGAAAATCCTACCTCTTTTCGATTCTTCAGGCTCTCATGGCTTCTCTGTTCTCCGGCTCTCTTGTTCTAGTTTCTTTTAGTGCAAGTCACATTACAAATTGGAACTTCTGTAGGTAGCTTGACAGTTTGACCACCCTCCCTCCAACAAGCTGGCATAAGCTCCTTGTTCCTTATAAACTGTTCCAGCATTTTGTCGCGTCGTTGTTGGCGCCTTTGTGAATTCGAGTTCCACAGTCTTCTCGTCGATCTTCTTCTCAATCTCCGGCAAGAGCTCTTTCCGCAGATTTCCAACCTCTGTGTGGGCCTCAGCCGCCATGCCATGTCTTCATCCCTGCTCATGGCAATTGTTGAGATTCGTTGAGTGCACAGTTCAAAAGCGACACTGTGAGGAGTCCGAATCAATGCGACTTGAATCAACTCTTGTAGACTGAAACGGTCTGAAACGTTTCAATGGTTGACCTTGGGAGCCGCTTTTGTTTGGGACCAATTTCGATCATGTTCGACGATTTTCGACATGTCGTGGCTAGTGACATTCTCCTATCACTTTGCCCTGACATTCAGTGCCCCATCCCCCTCAAGATGGAGCTTCGCTGATCCATGCTGATCCAATCACTTGGCATGTGATCAGAAGCTATTCTTGATCAACGTGTTGTTGTCCGGAACAGTACCACCCTCCAGTGTTACTCACCGACAAAATCAGAATCGATCAGAATCGATCAGAATCGATCAGAATCGATTTGAGTTTTCGGATGCCCGCCACTGCCGGCCACTGCCGGCAGGCCTGATTTACATCCAACGTCAGGGTCATGAGCTCGTGGCCATGCTGCCTGGGTCACAGGTTGGGGTATGGGCAAAATTGGCAAATTGGACTTGTCAATCAGAATCGACCAGGGCCGCAAAGCTTCAGTTCGAATCACATGTCCGCAAAGCTCAGCAGACCCTCCACTGTTTTTGCTGCTCTGGTACTTTACCACAGTGTTCGTGTGCTTCAGCTGTTCCGACTTCTTCTCCATCTCACTTCTCAGCGCCTGCACTTGCGTAAGTCTTCACTCCATCTTCACAACGTGGGAACTCCACTACATCCTACTACCACATGTCACAAATTTGTTCTGTCTGCGGTTCTGTCTGTAGTTCTTTAGCATACTCTTCGCCTCCAATTCATCCTTCAAGTCTTTGAGGTGCTGTGAGAACGGGCTGAGCATGCTGAGCAAATGCTGATGAACGAAGGCTTGCATCTCCTTGCAGCTTGGCTGAAACGTGGTGCTACATTCAGCTACAGTCACAGCGTCAGCTACGAGTGATCCAGTACAGTTCAGCAACGGAAAGTACATTCTCAAATAAGTTGGTTGCAATCTTATTGACGTTGCGCAGAACAAGATAAATCCCTGCTCCCTGTGTACACTAGAGTGGATTGGTGATTGATAAATTCTCAAATTTCAGTGAGTTTGTTCAAAGAAAAAAGTGCTAGAATGGTCATCGTGAATGGTGATATGGTGATATATGGTGATATTATGTGATATATGGTGATATATGGTGATATATGGTGATATTACCTTCTTTTTCGATTTGGCTGTCTGTTTCCCCCATGCTTGGCTCAGACACCATCTCATGCTCTGTCGTCAGCCAGGCCATTGATTGTGAATGGAGCGCGGGTTCCTGGCAACTTGTATCTCCGCATGCTCCGAGAGCCAAAGAAGTGCAAGAAATTCTTTCAGAAAGGTTAAGAGTCGACACATTTTTCGGGATGACTCTCCGGACTGCATACTGTACTCAGCCACTTTGATGAGGTATAGGAAGGAACGCGCTCTAGTTACAAAAGCTACTACGCGCCTGTGGTGCCCTTCTCTAGGGCGCTTACGTCAATAAATATCCTGAACATGGAAGGCTAGATAGGAATCATGGTCAAGTAATGGAATGGACCGAGCACTTCTCCAACCCGCTCCGAAGGTCCATTACACTCATTACAATGAGTCAAAAGTTACTATATAAATGTTACTAAGACTGTAAAGGTGACGCCCGCGAGGTGTTTGGATCAGAAGCCGCGTTGATGGAGAAAAGGATAGAAAAGGAGTTTCAGCTCAGAATCCTTTCATCCCAATTTGGAATTCGAAACCCTTCCAAGACTAACATAGACCCTCACGCCGCTTCTAGGGGGACCATGATTTCAGTCGACAAAAACCCAAGAAAAAATGCCAGTATTGACGATGCAACAAGAGACGCTTTCCAAAGTGGGTCAAGTGTGACATGTTTGGCCATAACCTGGGTAGCATTGTCGCTGTCCACGTCTTGCTATCTCTTGCTATTTCAAAAACAGCGGAAGATTGATAACCCAAAAACGATCTCTTTGCTGCACACATCTGGGGATTTAGCCCCCCCAATGTTTCCAGTGAAAACCTGTACATACACCCTCTCTCGGAGGTACCTGCCCGTTTGAGACGGTTGACTAGCATGTTTCTATGCATATTAACTACATACAATTAGACTACGTATATTCATAGTGTATATCGTATTTTGTTTTGTGCATGTTTGGACCAATGCTTTGAAGTAAATGCTCTCCACCTCTCCCCAATGTTTAGTTTGGGAAGTAGTCTTGGCAGTCTTTGTGCTTTTGGACCTTTTGGACCTTTTGGACCTCCAGTTCACCAGAAGGCATTGCGTCTGCCACTGCCATGGCGTCGAGAAACGTTGAGTGACACTCGGTTGCTGCTTGGCCTGGCAGAACCTGCTAGTAACCAGGTAGAGGAAGTCGAGACTCGTAGATCTATAATTACATACAATTTGTACATATTTATCACAAGTTATCACATGTATCAAATGTTTATCAATGCATATCAATGCAGTTAAGTTGCCGGTTTCAATTTTATGATAGAGGCAGGTAGTATATGTTCTTCGCCAATGTCCGTCATGGTATTGGAGTCTTGTTAGACTTGTTAGAAAGAACTCAAACTCCAATGTAGAGTTGCGAACCTGGTGAAAGGCTTGGTATGGAGAAGGCCAGCAAGAGTGATCCAGTAACCAGTACAGCTGCGGAATTGTTCATGGAAGAGTTTGAAGAGGCAATGCAAACCTCAAAGCGCGAAACTTGCAAAAGATTTGCAAGATCCCTGTGCCAACAATGTGCCAATTATGTGCCAACAAACTGTCACAAGTGCCTTGCACTGTCAGATGACGTCCCAACCTCTGGTTTCGATACTTGTTTGATTACCTCGCGCACTTCCACAGTGGGAACTTCAACGATTTTCTCCTTCGAATGGCGCATTGAGCATTTTGGAGCTGGAAGGTGCGATTTCAACGGTATTTGGAGCGTTTATGAGTTCGAACCTCTCATTTTCCATGGAATGTGCAACATTTTGGTGCTATTTGCAGCAGTTTGGAACTGGAAGCTGCCATGTCAACGCTATTTGCAACATGTTTGAGTTCGAACCTCTCATTTTCCATGGAATTTGCAACGTTTTGGTGCTCGAACTGTCCATGGAACATGGTAGTTTGCAACTAGGGTTCATTTAGGGTTGGTTCTAGGCCTAGGGTTAGTTTAGGGTTTCTGTCAGGGTTCTTTTTTTTTGCGTTGGTTTTAGAGTTAGGGTTTGTTTAGGATCTATTTAGGGTTGGTTTTGAGATTTATATTCAGGCTTGGTTTAAATCTATTTAGGGTTAGTTTAGGGTTCATTTAGGGTTGGTTTTAGGGTTTACTTAGGCTTGGTTTAAGATCATTAGGGCTGGTTTAGGATTAGGTTTGGTTTTAGGGTGTATTTAGGCGTGGTTAAGATCTATTTAGGGTTGGTTTAGGATCCATTTATATAAAGTTGGTTTAGGGTTTATTTGGGGTTTGGTTTGTGGTTTCATGTAGGTTTGTTTTCAGATCTATGTAGGGTTGGTTGAAGAGCTTTTTAGGCTTGGTTTGGGCGGTTATTTCGGCTTGGTTCAGGATCTATCCAGAATTGGTTTAGGACCTATTTAGGGTTGGTTCAAGGTTTGTTTAGGGGTGGTTTTGGATCTATTTAGGCCTTATTTAAGATCTAGGTAGGGTTGGTTTAAGGTTTATTTAGGCCTGGTTTAAGATCTATTTAGGGTTGGTGTGAGCTTGGTTTAACATACATTTGGGGTTTATTTAGGATCTACTTTGGGTGGGTTCTGGGTTTATTTAGTATTAGTTTCAGATTTATTTAGGGAATGTTTAGGGTTTACTGAGAGTTGCTTTAGTGGTTTTTTGTTTGGTGTGAGGTTTATATCGGCTTGGTTTAACATATATTTGAGGTTTATTTAGGATCTATTTAGAGTGGGTTCTGGGTTATTTAGGATCAGTTTCAGGTTTGTTTAGGGAATGCTTAGGGTTTACTTAGAGTTGCTTTAGTGTTTTTTGTTTGGTGTGATGTTTATTTAGGTTTGGTTTAACATATATGTGTGGTTTATTTAGGATCTACTTTGGGTGGGTTCTGGGTTTATGTAGTATTAGTTTCAGATTTATTTAGGGAATTTAGGGTTTACTTAGAGTTGCTTTAGTGCAGTTTTTTTGGTGTGAGGTTTATTTCGGCTTGGTTTAACATATATTTGAGGTTTATTTATATAGGATCTATTTAGAGTGGGTTCTGGGTTATTTAGGATCAGTTTCAGGTTTATTTAGGGAATGCTAAGGGTTTACTTGGAGTTGTTTTAGTGTTTTTTTGGGGGGTGTTTTATTTAGGCTTGAATTAGGGTTTATGCATTGTATCATTCGTCTTAGGGTTTATTCACAGTATGAGAAAGAAAAGAAATGCAGGGAAAAGCAGAAAAGCGGAGAAGCAGAGAGGCAAAGAAACAGAAAAGCAGAAAAGTAGAAAATCAAAGAAGCAGAGAAGCAAAGAAGCAGAAAAGCATGAAAAGGCAATAAAGCGGAAAAGCAGAGAAGCAGGCCAGCAGGGAAAAGCGGAGAAGCAAAGAAGCAGGGAAAGCAGAGAAGCTGGGAACAAGAAATCAAAAAAAGGGAAAAACAATAGCCCCTCCCTCCTTTCTAAAGTGTCGGTTAACATGTTTGTATGCATCAAAATAGATTCTGACTTGCAAAATTATCAGGGGTCAAAAGCTGAAGCAAGTCTTGGAAGCTCCTCATAGATAATCTGTGGCACTTCCACCTTAATTAGGCATCGTATGTAGCCGAAGGTGCTCAATAGGATTTTGCTGGTCTGGATGTTTCAATCTGGGGCTATGTACTACAAAGCACCACAAAGAGCAGTGCTGCGCTTCAAGTTCAGTTTGAGAAGTTTGCGAGCCTTGCCATGTCTTGCCTGTCCAATCCTGTTGGTCTTTACTTCTCGCATTCTGTTGACTCTGCTCTAGTCTCTCAGGGTCCCACCAACTTTTCTACATATTGTACCTCCAGTTTCTCTACCTGGCTGCAAATGCAGAGTGATGTACTGCATGAGGTACCTGATGTTCACTTGAACTCTCAATTCATCACCAGATGGACCTGTCTATCAACGACTTGTACTTCAGGTCGAGGCACCTGACAAGGGTGGCAGATTCACACGATGGGATGGCCGGGGCCAGTTGCAGCCAAAGTGTCTTGCACGCAGAAGCCAAGACAGTCACTGGCGTAAGAGATCTACAATTCAGCAAGATGCAAAACAGTATTGGAGCCAAGAAGGTTTTCAGAGTACGGTAACGTTGGTGTCCGAGAACATGGGGGCAACTTTCAACATGCATCAATCCGGACACCAACCCAGCATGCCGGGCAACATAATCAGCATGCTCAAACACCAAACCCAACATGACGAGGACACGGGTGGCACCACAACAAACATGACTGGGAAACGTCAATGGCCAGCATGGCATGATTGGGACACCACATGACATCATCAGAAGCCGACCACAACACTGCGGGGAAGGACCCAAACACGCCCGCCGGCCTGCCACTAGTCATCAATAGTATTTAAGAAAAACAGAAGAGTACCTGAGTTTATCTGGGTACCTCTTCCATTTTATCAATTCCAAAAGTCCAAAAAGTATGCCGATTTCAGGTGCCAAAAACGAACGGAAACCCAAGCTTGCCACAGGGCAACTGACTTGCCATGGCCTGCTTCACGATCTCTTGTACTTCCACCTTGGGCACCTGCAGCTGCAATGAATGACAGTGGCCATGTGTTCCATGTTTTGTCTTTCCACTAGTCTAAGCAACACCTAAGATCGAGAGTCGCCTCAAAATGCCAAAGAGTGCAGTCCAAATCTTTTTGCAAAATCAGTAGTCTTCTTTTGCATATCATATATACATTATACTAGTCAAACGATGTTAAACGGTTGCATCTATACAAACAATCCACATAGCCGCATAGCCGCATAGTCACAAAAAGGCAAAGGATCCGATTTGAGTCGCAGCCAAGAGGAGAACCCTAAACGAAGGCCCACACCCTCCAACACCTCGATGATGCACTCCTGGATTGTGGTGTGTGGCACCTGACATGTTCTGCTTCAAGATCTAAACAAGTTTACACAAGCACTGACTTGATAACAGCAGAGTATTGCCAGTCTCATCGAAGTCCACAAACGTACTTTACATTGCAGTAAGTCATTAGTTAGTATATAAATAGTCATTACTTAGTCATTAGTTATAGTTATAGTTAGTCACCAGTCATTAGTCTGTGTCATGTCCATCTGCCACCATATCCTCGTGGAGTCCATGTGCCTCAACGATGCGCTCCACATACTCATTCACAGGCTTCTCAACAGGCTTGGCCACAATCTTCACCTGTAAAAAGATAACCAGCGCAGCACAATGCAGCGCATTAACAAAGTGAAACTCTTATGCACGTCTGTGCATGACAGCTGTTGTTGCAGGTTTAAATTCTTCAGGCGAAGTCAGAGAACGTGATAAATGATAGAGAATTGCAATGGTTGCCTCGAGTTTGCTTCTCATGAGTTAAGACATAAAAAGTTTGCAGGATTTTGCAGGACACCAATCCAAAAAGAGCAACAGCATGCGAAGAATTGAAGCATCAATCGTGCCACAAATGATACCTGCCTCTGGTCGTGGTACTTCCTTCAGAAGCTCCTGCTTTGCAGACATTCAAAAGAATCTTTCTACGAAATCCATGTCTGGGACAGTGGCCAGAGTGGCCACAGCCACTCACATACCTAGTCTCACCTAGTACCAAAACCATGCCGATTTTGAAGCCTCAGATCACGTTCAAACTGTTCAAACATATCAAGCTGTTGGCGAACTCAGAGTCTGAGCGCTTTTGAACTCCAGTGACACCTTCCCTGTGGCCTTAATCTGTACCTGTGGGACCTCTACCATCTGCTCAGCAACCATGGTCGTCGGCACCTGTCAGGTTTAGAATAAGATCGTGAGAGAAGTCCGCCCGCACTACGGATACCAAGGCGTTTTGTTGTTTGCACGCATGATCCAGAAGAAAATGCTATAGCTATAAAGCTTTAGCTTGCTGGGGGGGGCATTTTTGCTCTAGAATCGTGGGTTTTACAACGTTTTTGAAAGGGTCATAAAGTTGGCGAAGCTGCCAACATAGGTCCAACAGAGGCCCAAAATTGCGACAACATCGACCGTATAGGCTCGACCTGGGCTCAAAATATTCAAAATGGGGCCAACATAGGTGTAACGCAACGTCGGTTCAACATGATGCAAATGGTCCGACATCGACTTATATAATGTAGCCACGCACGTGGCCAATCTTGGCCCATGTTGCGGCATTCTTACCATACTCCTACTCCATACGTCCACTTGCCAAACTACGCCGCAGCAATCTCCATCCACGCACCAAAACAAACACTTCCGGTGCGGGTTGTCGTGGCGAAGCGCCCAAAATATATACTTTCTGTATCTTATTGTATCTTACTGTATCTTACTGTATGTTTTAACATGTCTTGAAGAGAATGCTGAGGGCATTGAAGAGAACAGATGTTTTCCATTGCTGCTTGGCCTCCACAATGCGCTCTCGAGGTTGGTAGTGGGGAACCCCGACCTGTCACATAGTTCTGTTCGGAATATATGTCATGTCCACAAATTCTCTTGCTCTAGGAATTTTAGACTTGCTAGGCATGTCTCTTTGAGCCTCACTTCTAGCTGTGCTTTGCTCATCCTGGCCCGTTCGAGCCTGCTTTTGCACCTCACGTACCTGCGTCTTGGGCACTTGTTTCACCAATGGCACAAATTCCACCTTCGGCACCTGATCAAGAATATGACAGGACATACTTGCAAATACTTTGCAAGCCATGGATTAAAAAATGAAGTCTGGACCATGCAATTTCTTGGTGCTTGGTCTGGGAATATTTGAGACACATGTTGCTCCTTCAATGATGACTCTGTATCAAATGTGCAAGTTTGTTGCACCTCTTCAATTCTCTCTTGCACCAGGGTGTGCGGCACCTCCACTATCTTCTCAGTGACCTCACTAGCCGTCACTAGCCAAAAGGAAGACTTGTAACCAATCTTCCGCTATCTATCGCTATCTTATATCGCTTGCCATGTTCCAAAATCCTAATGTCATACAGCCAGAATATATTGTCAATTCTTGGAGGATAGTTTCCAGGCGTTTCAGGCAGCATGTCGCCTCGTAGATCGGTCTCACAACCTCCTTGGTAACTTCCTGCACCTCCGCAAGGATGGCAAGGTATGGTAAAGTTTACACCTTTTGAACAACTCAACTCTACCCGTCCTCCGCAGGCAGCATATGGCAGCATTCCAATTCCGTTTTGTTTCAGCTCTGATCAAGAAAGATGGAAGTTGGTAGCAGCTACGAGCATCTCTTCAGTCGATGAAGAGTGTGTACCTGAGCAGCGCGGCCACAGTGCTTTCAGAATGGCTTTCGGAGTCGAAATGGCTTCCAGGCTTCGAGGTATTCCAGAAATGTGTGCGGAATACTCGGCCAAGTCACAGCAGAGATGAGTGGGTGCGCCTTCCAACACCAGCATAGGAGTCAGGCTCTTCCTGGCGCAGAGGTCAAAAAAATCGGAAGAAACCCATTGGATCTCAGTCAATCTGCAGTGGCGGGCTGTACAGGTTAGCTCAGTTGCTTTGGCTCGCTTCGGTTCTGCGATTTAGTATTATTTCTGCGCAGCACTGCATGTTGCTTTTAGAATACCATTCTTTTACCGAAGACAGCTGGGTAGAGACGCAAATCAAGACCAGGGGATCCCCTGGTTTTATCCATCTGGTATGTACGATCTGTTTGAATCGGTAGCAAACGTTCACGGTCATTTCGGGGTTAAAATAATCGCACAAATGTTCAGCAGTCCAAACTGGTGGTATTGAAAGGAAATGGAACTGGAAGATGTGCCCCCTTAGATCTTGCCTGGCATAGAGTCAACAAATGACCCCCAGTCTGCAGAGGTTGCTCAACCTTCAGGTATCCTTAATCATCTCGAAACCCGCTTGCTCGTAGCACGCGCGTGCCACACCTGGAGGACTGTCATAGCTCAGCCAGCCAGCATGAAAAAGTAAAGGGATTCCGCTTCACATATTTTCACAATCCTGACTGACTGGGAATCACCTGGGAATCATACGATTGTAGTCTGCAAGATGAAGAGCCTCAATGGAACTCCGTTGCAGAGCGAATCTGTGCAGCGCTGCGCACAGTGTGTGCAGACCTTGCTTCTTAGCTAGCATCTACGCGATGACAGAGGATCAGACAACGGCACGCAAGGCTGTGTCTTTCTGTTCTCCTGTCTGACAGCAGCATTGGCATCTGAATATGCTTGCTCAGAGGGTCAGGCTGAGAAGTTCATCGAGTGTCCTCCAACTCACACACAAGTAGTACACTATGCTTTTCCTTGTGCTAGCACAACCAGAGGCAAGCGTGCCATTCAATCCGCTCAGCGCACCCGTCCCACCCGTCACTCGAGCCTAAGAAAGTGTTTGAGGCTTTCGCAGCTGAGCGAAGCTCTGCCAAACTGCGCTGAAGCAAAGCGTTTCCCAGGCCACGTCGACGTAGCTGAACAAGGTGCAAGCAGAATATGAAAGGAGAACAACCAAAGCCAATCGACAAATATTGACAAAATAGGTAGACAAATGACAAAAAGGAATGGTAAGGATAACATGATGGGAAGAGGGTTTTGGAAGGGAAGTTCTAAAGTCTTTTGTTCACTGAGCTCGGCATGTCATGCCATGCAATGGCAACAATAGCACCCATCTGCAACTGCACATGTACATTGTTTTCTATGATCCTTCAACGATTCTGGGGCATTGATACTGATGGTGCTTTGACTCAGCTCATGATTTCTCATCCATTCAGAAATATTCAACTTCATTCAACTTCTCAAAAACTGGTACGAGTAGCTCCGTGAAGCATCTCTTGCCTCTCCAACAATGCCAAGGCTGAGCACGTAGCCCAACTCCCGTCTATCGGGGCCTCAATAAATTTCCATCATCACAGTGAACACATGTGAACACTATAGAGACCGCAGCACGTCCCGAATGGCAAAAGGTGCCGTGAACCAACATGTTTGCAGCTAAGTCAAGTCTGCTTCCTGAAGTGCATCCAGTGCAGCCCATCTATACATATATATATATATATATCGTTCTATATCAACCTCCCGAAGCAAAGGCATTGAGCAAGAATCGAAAACGGAATTCATCAACACAGGCAGCTTCATCTTTTACCCCTGCTGTTTCCATGTTTTTTTGCTGTGTGTTCTAATGCCCCTTCGATGCTGGAAGAGCTGGGAAGTTGACTATCCCAAGGAATGTACTTTGGAATGGTCAGCTCGCTTCGGAGGATGTCCACTGTTGCTTCGCCCCCAAACTCCTGCAGGAAAAAAACACATATGCAGGTTGTTATATACGTAGAACATAACAAAAGATGTGTATAGTATAGTCGCTTCCTAAACAACTTTGCAGTCGTGCTGTACAGCTTCAGAATCTGCGAAATGTGATATCCAGATCCAGGTACAAGCTGCAATATCAATGCGCAAGCTTTATTGTCAAAATCATATTGTCAAAATTTGTGGTCCTCGATTGCTGCTTTGTTTGACAGCGCCACCACAATACCCACTGGAGCTGAGGTTTCATCCTCAAAACAAGTTGATGCAGAAGATACTGCAGAATGGGTACCATACTGCAAGAATGTCGCTCATTGGTAGAGTGTTAAGGAGACACCAAGAGTGTCACACGCTAAGAGGAGGCTGTCTCGCAATGTTGGGTTGCATTCATCTAAGCCTTTGCAGAGCCTTTTGTAAACAAGCAGCGCTCTGGTCCTTCCATCTAAAGAATTCAGTCGAAAAGATGTCGAAAACCATTTGTTCGTGCCCTAATTGTGCGTGAAAGGTACTTCCTCTATCCTGTTCCTGTCTCTCTTTGCTCATCTTGATTCTTCTTGCTGATGGATTTTTTTTTGGCAGTTCTCTCAGTTCTCTCGCCCGGGTCCTCAGGTAGAGTCGCTTTAAAAGCCAGCACTCCTTCATGAGCCAGCAGCCCTGCACACCAGGGCGCTCCACCTGCTGTAGTTTGGTGGCTGTGTATTGCATGTCCAATACGTCCAATTCAGACAAAATCACAAAAATGTGTGCCTCAAATATCCTCAAATACAAAATAGTATGTATATACTGTGTGTGTATGTGTGTATGTGTGTATGTGTGTATGTCTGTATGTCTGTATGTCTGTATGTAGGTAGGTAGGTAGGTAGGTATCTAGGTATCTAGGTGTCTATGTATCTATGTATCTATGTATCTATGTATCTATGTATGTATGGATGGATGGAATGTATGTATATATATATATACATACACGCCTCAGGAAAATTATGATCAAACAGAATCGAAAAGCTGGGTGCAAATCTCAAATCCAACTGCGGTCTGGACCAGTTGTTGCAGGCGGACATATGCAGGAACACGCTCTTGTATATACTCGGAATATATGCTCTGCTTCAAGAATTGCTGAAATCCACATTCCCATTCCATGTATACCCTAAGCTTGAGGAAACTTATGTTTACCAATATGCTAGCTGGATAATGGTCCACTACTCTGCTGTGGTGTACTTCATCTTCGAGTACTTCAGCATGTCATATATTGACAAATGTTGAGAAAATATTGTCCATGTATTTCCAAATGTCAAAACACCATTTTGCGGCGAACCCCTGGTAAGCTGCAAGGATCTCGGGAAATATGAGGTGCACTGTAGAGGAACAAACGAGCGAAGCATGTTTTTTTGTGCAGAGAAAGTCGACAGGGACATGACAAGATCAAAGCATGTTACGAATGGTGAAACAAAAAGAACAACTTGATGGGCTTGACGGCTTGAGGAACTGGGTTGCACTTGCAAAAAAAGACTTAGGCACAGAAAGTGAAGAAGTACTGAACCATTAAAAAAATGCATTCTGGCTTGTGATTGCAAATAGGATCCTGACGTTATCGGACCTCATGTATCTGTCCAAGCCTCGACAGGACTCCTTTGGAAACCACTCTTCCTGAATGCTCAGAATTCAGCGATCTGTCAGGAAGTCCAGACAGTCCCAAGCTGAGAAGGTTTTCTCTGCATGAAACAAGCATCTGTGCCAAAACAAATTAGAAGATTTTTGCATCTTCCAAACGAAAAAGCTGTTGTATGTCTGCCGAAATTTCATGATGTTCTTCTCTTTGATCAGAGATATTTGCGAATGCCATGGCCACAGAACAACTTAACACCATCTCTCCAAAGCCTGAAGATCAGCCAGGTCCTCGTACATGAAATCAAATGCACGGCTACACTCCATTAGGCTTAATCAAAGTCTGTCATTAACCTTGCAAGCACACTACATTTGCAGGCCATTATCAGTCTCGGTCAGAACTACTCCGCGCATGCAAAGTGGCATTAAACAATGGTCCTGGGCATCATCAGGTGTCATTGCAGAAATGTGCAGGTCCTGTCACGGCGGGTCAGATTGTGCAGAGCGGATAGAATGACGAGCACATCGCGCAATGGGATTGCGAAACACTTGTTAGGTTATGTGCAAAGAACTACCCACCAGAGTTCATTCACTTCATTCACGACACCCAAATCATCGCAAATGATTTTGCTTCTACAGATAAAGAAAGGTCAAGATCTTCTCGATCTTCTCGTTCCCACAAGTACCCACCCACACATCTACCGGGCGTCCGAGGCAGTTGACATGCGTTCCAGCAGCTCAGGGCGCCCTTCTAACCTCAAAGCCTACTCCCAAAAGCATAGCAGCTTGGCAAGTCGAAATGGTGCGACTCCACACTTTCATCATGTTTATCATGTAGAGTGAGATGCAGTGGGTCGAATCCTTCGTCGTTTACCAACATCTACTGCAATGGTGTCATCGGCCTCATGAGTGCCTGGCAGGGCATGGATTCGTGCTTTGAGCTCCGGTGCAGTGGAACCCGGCGGCAACGCTGAGCTCGCCAACGCCGGATCAACCTCATGAAAGTTTATAAAATGTGCAAAGTTCAAACTTTGCAAAACTACAAAGTGAGCCAGAAAAACAAGCTGTTGTGGGGCCTGTGAGTTTCAGGCTGCTTTGGCAAATAAAAATTGTTTGTTGAATCCTCGTGTACTTATTTGTTGAACCTAATGTACTTCTTCTCCTCCCTTGTTCGGTTCCATGCACAACGTTCCTTGTAAGGGCTTGGCAGAATTCCAAAATGGTCGCTGAAAGGATCTGAAAGCTATACATTGAGTTACTGACCTGGAGAAGTTCCGGCTTGGCACGGTTGCCCTTCGCACCTGATTTGCATTGCCACTGAGACAATGTCCAACATTCTCGCACCCGAGAACAACACATTTCTTTCTCTCCCTTCACCAGCTCACCCGCCCAGGTTTCTTTCAAGCAGTGAATCCGTGAATCATGTTTCATGTTGGACCTGATTGAACATGTCACTAAACAACATTGAGAACAGAGTGTGAGCAATGAACTTTTTAAAAAAAAAACACATCTGTGGCTCCAAACGTAGCTTGTTGATCAGCCCACCAGCGCGGCAAGCGCTCTTCACTGGCCGCCGAGTCTTTATTGGGCAAAAGAAACACCTGGCCAAGAACCGCCGCCTTTCGAAAGCTACTTGGCCGTTCTTCTGGTGATGTCTCTAGCTTTGGGATCATAGTCTGTTCCGATGCCTGATTCCAATATTATCAGTATTGTACAGCATCGAACGGCGTCCTGTCGTGGATCAAATCTGCTTCGTTTTCAAATCTCTCAAAAGCAACCGATGGGTTCGATGGAAACAGCCTGCCTTGTCCATTGCAAGAGAAGAGGCAGCAACAACACAACCGCGCACCGCAACATGTGCAATGAAAAGGTCTGTGTAGAGCAATGCGATGTAAAATGCTGCGTGGGAAGTCAACACCTGCTTGTATCAATCTCTCCCCTGAGCAATAAAATAGATTCACAATCGTCATCTGCGAATCAAAATGTTTGTGCTTGCTTGCACCGCTCAAATCCCGGGCAAGTTGGGCGGAAAAGGGTGTTCTTCGCAGGCAGCTGGAAAAGGGGACCCTGACCACAGCATTCAGCTGTGTTAAGATATTTGCTGTTGGGCAAGCCTGGCAAAGTCAAGTCATGTCTTCGAGATTAGTTCTGTGAGTTTTGGGCATAGCAACAGTCTGCTTGATGCGGATGTCAGTTGAAGCCAAAGCAGCAAGATGTTTTGGAAGGCAATGTCATGATTGGCTTCATCTCCCTGCTCTCACTTTCTGATAAATCAGGGACAATTCTCCCCAGTACACCCGAGATATCTTGCCCTGGACCCAGGCACTCACTGATAATTTGAAACTGCTGCCTGAGCCTCTTGAAGCCTTGACCAATTACCGCAAGAGATAGGTGTGTTCCAGTCGTTTTCAATTACCTGTACTACCCATTCAATTTTTTCTGTAATAACAGTTCGCAAATCTGATATCTATATCTATCTCTGTATATTTTATCTTGAAAAGCCATTGACCAGTCTTCTAATGTCCAGCTCCAGCCTCCACACGTGGTACCTGCTTCAGCAATATGGTCTCTTGGACTTTGGGCACCTCCATCTTTGGCCAAGCTCTTGACTTTCAATCGAGTCACTGAATCTGTTTTCATGTGGAAACATGTCCAGCTATGGCCCCTACAGGTCGGGTGGTAGCAAAAATTAGCAAAATGTAGCAAATAGTTCCATTTGGGTGGCTTTGGTACCAATTCTAAGCACCCGCCGCGTCCAGTCATAGACAACTCTTTGGGAGACAGGGTAAGAAAGAGCTCCGCAAGAAAAACGCGATCGCATGCAACCTGCAATGGGGATGCCTAAAATGGGTGCCTACCATGGCCTAATGTATCTGCCCAGGT